ATTATGGTTGTTAACTGTTATTCAGTCACATATCCCCCAAGACAGAGAGATTTCATTTTACTGCCATAGAAATGAAAACAGAAGCACAGGAAATGTGCCAAATTCAAAATTGTACCTCAGTGATTTGATCACATAATATGGAATATGATGAAGTTGCATTTTTGAACTTGGAATTGATTTTGTGCTGAAACATACATTTTCCAACTCTAATGCCTATGGTAAAATTTGAATACTCTTGCTCAGTCTCTAAAAATTACATTTACATATTATTTGTTTATGTTTTTATACATATTACATATTATCCTAGACTAAGCTTCTTAGGTAGATACTACGTCTAATTTATTTTTCATCCTGAGTCTTAGCCTAGTGTTTGGCTAAACTTTATCACTGCATCCCTAGAATTATTTCATTTGAAAGAACTTAAATCTTAATGTGCTTGAATGTGTCATTTAAAATTTATTTCATTTGAAAATGACTGTGCCCTAATTTACTGGTATGCTTTGACCAAGATTTATTCTGAATTCAGTTATGAAGGAGGAGCAACTTCAGAAGTTGAAAAGAGAAATATTTCTTCTTCAGTGCCTTTTTTTTTTTTTTTGGAAGTAGGAGGCTAAGTTAAATAATCAAGACTGCTTTAGAGGTTTTAGAAGTGAAAATAATTTTTTCTGACAGCCACATTAATGTATAACCCAGTGGGGATATAAAAAATGGAAGAAGCAATCATGGGCTTGTTGGCAAAGTGATTACATAAGTTGAGGCACAGAGGAAAATGATTACAGCCAGGGCAAACTGTTCAAAAGAATTATATCACTGGGTGCGGTGGCTCGCGCTTGTAATCCCAACACTTTGGGAGGCTGAGGTGGGCAGATCATGAGTTCAGAAGATCGAGACCATCCTGGCTAACACGGTGAAACCCCATCTCTACTAAAAATACAAAAAGTCAGCCGGGCGCAGTGGCACACACCTGTAGTCCCAGCCACTCGGACAGCTCAGGCAGGAGAATCACTTGAACCCAGGAGGCGGAGGTTTCAGTGAGCCAAGATCACACCGCTGCACTCCAGCCTGGGCCACAGAGCAAGACTCCATTAAAAAAAAAAAAAAAAAAAAAAAGAATTATATCTTCTATTTTTGTAGAGGATAGGAAATGTTCAAAATAGAGAAATTATGTTTGTGGTTTCTACAAATCTTTAGATTTTTATTAAGTAAATCATACACTCATCTTTTCATGTCAGGTTGGTTCGTGTCCTGGTCTTTGCAGGGTTTTCTCCTTGAGTTTTTTCCCTTAAGATAGATGTGTCATTTTCTGCAACCCACTGATCACTCAGTCTGTAACATCTTTCACTTTGGATAGCACTGTAAAATCCTATGAGTGACTGAAAGAATTTGAATTCCTTACATTTTATGTACTGTGCTTTTGAGATGAGGGTTAAACAAGGACCCTAAGAGGCGTAAGTGAGGTTGACTTCTGGGCTCCAGAGATCAATGGTTCTTGAGAGCAGTAGAGAATTTTGAAAGTGGTAGGAAACAGGAAGATGATAAAATAATACCCTGATGAGAGGAATCTTGGAAATGAGCCTCGGGGAGAGAAAACAGAGATGTTTGAAGGAGAATTCAAAAATAAAAATCACTACTAATGCTTTAAGTTGGAATTGTTTCTTGGGGGTCTAATCAGTTACCTGAGGCTGATCTTGATGCATATGGGTGAGAACAGAGCATCTGAGGGGGCTGTTGGCCATGTTTTTATTTTGTGTCACTTTATGTCATTCTTCTTTTTAGATGATTCAGAACTCTGGATACAAATAATCCCTAGAGCTCGGAAAAAATAGTCATTTCCATCCTAACCTCACCTCACCACTAGGGGCTCTCTCTGAGTTTGGTAGCTTCACTTCTGCACTGACGATTTCATATAAAATGAAAAAATACATTGGTGATAATTCTAATGTGAGATAAAGACTCCTCTGGATCTGTATACCTGTCAGAAATAGGATTATGCCATTCTGGTTCTTAGCTCATGTAAGAAACATAGATAGATACAAAGACTAATGCATCCCTTTCACACAGTAACTGCTGGCAGAACTGGAGGTAGAACTCCACCGTCTGGTCCACATGTATGAAGCTCTCACCCACTTCTTTTAAAGATTGCTTAGAAGAAACTAGACATAGACCAAAGAAAAGAGAGGAAAAAAAATCTTCTTTTTCTGACCTAAAATAACGATTCTACCTCTTTTAACAGGTAGTTAAAAGAAGACCATCCTAAATTAAGAATAACAATGTTACCTCTTTTAACACAATGTCATTATTGTCATAAGACAGTGGTCTTTATAAGAGAACAGTTCTGAACCCATCTGCTTATTAATCGGTTTCTTATTAATCAGATTAATAAGAATTCAGATTTCTTATTAATCAGATTCACAGTCTGGTATTTGCATGTGAAAGTTTCAGACCATTCTGGAATGTGACTCAGTAGGTGAAAAAGAATTCACTTTAAAAAATTCTTAACATCTTTAAATGCAATTTAATAGGTGGCATGACTTGGAATAAAATTAAGGGGTGGGGGGGGGAAAGAGTATGTCTGATGATTCCTGAAGGATCTAGAAATAGAAATTCGATTTGGCCCAGCAATCCCATTACTGGGTATATACCCAAAGGATTATAAATTGTTCTATTATGAAGACACATGCACATGTATGTTCATTGTGGCACTGTTTACAATAGCAAAGACCTGGAACCAACCCAACTGCCCACTGATGATAGACTGCACAAGGAAAGTGTGGCACATACACACCGTGGAATACCATGCAGCCATAAAAAACGATGAGTTCGTGTCTTTTGTAGGTACATAGATGAATCTGGAAACCATCAGTCTCAGCAAACTAACACAAGAACAGAAAATCAAACACTGCATGTTCTCACTCATAGGCAGGTGTTGAACAATAACACATGGACACAGGGAGGGGAACATCACACACTGGGGTCTGTTGGGAGGCTAGGAGAGGGGCAGCGGGGGATGGGGAGGTTGGGGAGGGAGGACATGGGGAGAAATGCCGGATATAGGTGACAGGGGGATGGAGGCAGCAAACCACCTTACCGTGTATGTACCTATGCAGCAATAATGCATGATCTGCACCCGTACCCCAGAACCTAAAGTACAAAAAAAACAAAAAACAAAAAACAAAAAGAGTGAAACCTCTTCACTTTGGAAAGGAAGGCAATGAAAATAGGTGAAAATACCTTTACTGACAAAAGTTGTGCTGAATCAAGTCGTATGTGAGGTTAGCCAGCAAAGCTGGACATTTGCCACAATTGGCTGTTGTGTCTGGCTGATGAAAATGACAATGAGAAAACAACAAAATAACTGAGGATAGGCAGGTGCAATGTGAAATTGTCGTTTTCACAATACTGTGAATCATGTATTGCTTTGTTACATAATTAGTTGCTTAAGAAGGTGTCATGGTTTTAGACAAACGGCCCAGAGTTTTGGTCTCGCTCTACTACTTGGTAACTGCATGACTTTGGGAAAGTGTTTACCTCATGTCTTCATATTAGTCCTTAATTATCCTCGTCTGTAAAATGGGGATAATATAATAAGGTTGAACCATTATATATGTTCTATAATGGCATATAAAATTGCTATTTCTGAAAGTCAGAAATCATCATATATTAAAAATGCTTTTAAAAAATTCTTTATTTTCTCCATTCAGAGTAATGAATCAAGTGTCTGCTGTGTGTTAGACATTATATTAAATCTTAGGAATTCAAAGTGGTACCACCTGCATCCTCAAAACTTCCCAACTCTTAAAAAAAAGAAGTTATCATCTATTGGCAGGTTCACATGATTCAAGCTAATAGCTTTTACCTCATAGGATTATTGTGAGAATTAAATAAAAAATACATGAAATGTTTGCCACAGGGGCTCATAGTAAGTGCTCGATAAGTGGTGGATATTCTTATAATTGAATGAATCACCTAATTATTTTCTATATTATAAACTCAATCCCACTTATTTATAACTTCTATATCAAATTTTAAGTTCAATCTATTTACTAGAATACAACAATTTAGTGCACATTGATTTTCCCTATAAACATCCATATGCAATGATTGCTTACTAAAACGAGAAAAGGGTGGGGATACAATATGTGGTTTGTTTTTGGATTTGGCTTCTTTCACTTAGCATTTTTTTGAGGTTCATCTGTGTTATAGCATGTATCGGTACTCCATTCCTTTTTATTGACAAATAATATTCTATTGTGTGGATATATTACATTTTGTTTATCCATTTATCAGTTGATGGAAACTTGACCTGTTTTCGCTTTGGGGCTCTTATGAATAGTGCTGTTATAAACATTTGTGTATAAAAGAATACACTGTGTGATTCCATTCATATGAAATGTCCAGAGTAGGCAAATTCATAGAGAGAGGAAGTAGATTAGTGGTTGTTAGGGGCTGGGAGGAAGGGAAATGGGGGTAACTACTAATAGCTACAAGATTTCCTTTTGGGGTGATGAAATGTTCAAAATTAGACAGTGGTGATGGTTGCAAAACATTGTAAGCATACTAAATACCACTGAGTTGTACATATTGTAAGGGTGAATTTCAGGGTGTGTGAATTATATCTCATTGCAGCTGTTCTTAAAAAAAAATGGAAGATATTTCATTAAAAATGTATGTTCACCACATAAACAGAGCACCTGATAGTATATGTAGTTTATTATCAAAAGGAGACACATTTTGCCTTGAGAAGGGTTTCAGTAATGTTTTTAATCTATTTCCATTTTAAGTACAGTGTACTTCACTCTTATTCTGCTTAGCATTTGTGATTGAATTTGACTCTCAAATTATTCAAAGAACTGTGTTGAGTTTTGAAAGGCAGTAGAAACAATGGGGAAAGCAGATATAGCTCGCAGGTTGAAGAGTTGTACTGGTGCTGAAAATTCAGTGAGATTAACCAAGAAATTGGCTCAGTAAGAAACCAGGGCCTACCAAAGGGGGTTTTACAATTCAGAAACAGGGAAAAATTAGAGTTTTATTTGCAATTTACAAAGTTTAGTATAATTTGCAAAATTGTGCTAAACTTTTTGAGGTTTAGTATAATTGAAATGTGCTTCAATTTTCAGGAACATTACCTACAAATTGATATTAGGTGGTCTGCAGCTTGTGATTGATGTGGTCCATGATAAAGATGGCAGTAAAGATGTTTTAAATATTCTGCTGCTCATTAGATTTCGTTTTTGCAGACAATTTGCAGCTCCTCTGAGTAAAACATTTATATTCAATTACAGAGTTTGATAAATAGGATTTCCCCCCATCCCACCCTTTTGAATCACTGCAGAGTATTAATAGTGCTTTCTTCCAGGAAGCAAAGATAAGATTATAGCCAAATTTCTTTCAAAACCTCAGCAGCATCTTCTTTTGGTAGCTGTTTAGATATTTTCTTCCACTTCTCTGACTTCAGATGACACAACCTTGCCATCCACTACTTCTTCCACGACTGTCTTAATCTTCCTGGTTTTCTTTATATCTGAATTTATAGTAAACATTAAATGTTAACTCAGGCACATGACTTTGCTGATTTATAATATCCAACTTTAAATTATTATTCTTTTTACTTATTTCCTTCTTTTAGAAAAATGTTAAACCCATCCTCTTTATCAAATAATCTTATCCATTTTATACATAGATGTAGAAAATGTGCTTCTCCCCAAATTAAAAAATATCCTACTCTTCCCACCCCTAAGCAGAAATAAATGATCTTGAATTTAAGAGGAATTCAAATTTTGTCTTATTTTTCCTTTTCAGGATCTCAGGATGTCTCAAGATAGCAATAGCACAGGCCAAGAAAATCACCCCCTTCTGAAGAATGTGCTCAAGTTCCCACATGGAGGGTTTCTTGATGCCATGTACAAGAATTTTAGAATCCTGGTGTCATATCTGCTCTCTTGAGAATTGGCCTCTGCTATAGTTTGGATGTGTTCCCTAGAGTTCATGTGTAGAAAACTTGATCCCCAGTGTAACAGTGTTGGGAGGTGGGGCCTAGTAAGAGGTGATTAGATAATGAAGACTCTGTCCTTGCGGATGGATTAATGTGGTTTCCATGGGAATGGGTTAGTTATTGTGAGAGTGGGCTTGTTATAAAAGCAAGGCCAGCTTCCTCTTGCTCTCTGGCTCTCACACACACTTTTTTATGCTTCTGCTTTCTGCCGTGGGATGGCACAGCAAGAAGGCCTTCACCAGATGATGGCACCTTGATACTGGGCTTTCTGGCCTCCAGAACTGTGAGCCAAGTAACCTTCTACTGTGTGTAAGTTATCCAGTCCCAGGTATTCTGTTACAGCAACAGAAAACAGACTAAAACAGCCTTACTTTACTTTTTATCAGTGGCAGGTAGTCAACAGCAGCTGAGTGTCATAGAAAATGTGCAAATTTAGAACTTACCTTTCTCTTCCTGAGTGCTTAACTGATACTCCATAGTTCTGTTTTTTTTTTTTAAATTGGAAAGAAGAAAAAATAAACAGAAAAAAAGCGTTATTGCTATTCTGAAAATGGAATGCACTTCTTTCATATTTCAAAGTAAAATCCAAGTGAATGTGTTTTAATGCTTTCATATTTATTTACCTTTTACATTGCTTGTCATTGCACACTTGAGTGTTTTACACTTGAAAAATACATACCTTTAAAACTGACCAGTTTATTATAGGCTAAGGAATTCCTCTAATTAAAATAACAAAAATACAATGGAAGTTCAAATTTTGTGTTCTCTTGCTGATATTCTTAGGTATGGTATCTGAAGACAGTCGCTGCTGCCACATTGATGATTCCCAAAGTGACTCCCATAGACCTCAGCAGCTTATGGTCTAATTCACGAGCTCTCAATTTGAATTTCCAAAAAGTTATTGTGCTTTCAATTGTATATTAATGATATAAATTAGTATCAGCATAACCTGTGTCATATAGAGAATTATCTTCTAACTCAGTCCTGCCACATGATTTCAAAGCTGTATTTGATAGTTTGGGCGTGTGTGTAGTTTTTGGTATATTTTTGTTTTGTTGTTGTTGGTGAGATGTGTGAGTATAATTGCTTCTGTCCTGGGGATTGCATTGGTGCTGGGTAATGAGTGACAGAGACATCAAAATAGGCGTGCATACAGACATTGACACCTATTTCTTGATTCTAAGAGTCTTACTTTACATCTTCTCCTTCCAGAAGGCGGCGGTAGGTAGCAATTTCCTGCTCAAGCCGAGTCTTTATGTCAAGAAGGATATGGTATTCGTTGTTCTGGTGTTCTGTGTCACTCCGAATCTGCATCAGTTGGGCTTCCAGGGAGCTCAGCAGCGACTGGAGGTTGGCTAACTGGATGCCGTAACGGGCTTTGGTCTCCTCTAGGGTATGCTCCAAAGACTCTTTCTATGAACACAAGAAAAATAGGGCATTTTTTATCTGAGGACTTGATTCAAGAGATGGATCAATTTTCATTTCTTTTCAGAAGGGTTTCTGCATCTCGTCACTGTGGGCATGGTGTGTATTTCTAGCTCCATCTCCCACTCTTCCCAACTAGGCAACCTCAGCCAGCCAGCTAGGATCATTAGCTCTTGGGGTTTTTCTTTGCTTGTAGCTTTGTACCCACTGTTCTCTCAGTGCGGGACGTTGTAAATTGTTCTCAATATTTGCTTTCCCCACCATGTGAAGATGTTTTACCTCTCATTCCTTCATCAGACTTGGCCATGTGATCTGTGGCATTTCTCAATTGCAGGATTAGACTCCTTTAATCCAGTGACACCTGGCTGGGTCATGTGACTTTGGCTAATAAAATGCAGGTGAAACTGACAAATGCCTTTTCTTTTTTTTTTTTTTTTTTGAGACAGAGTCTTGCTCTGTCGCCCAGGCTGGAGTGCAGTGGTATGATCTCGGCTCACTGCAATCTCCACCTCCGGGGTTCAAGCGATTCTCCTGCCTCACCCTCCCAAGTAGCTGGGACTACAGGCGCATGCCACTATGCCCAGCTAATTTTTGTGTCTTTAGTAGAGACAGGATTTCACCATATTGACCAGGCTGGTCTCAAACTCCTGACCTCAAGTTATCCTCCTGCCTTGGCCACCCAAAGGACAAATGCCTTTTCTAAGGAGAAGCTTTAAGAGCTATCAAGTGGCCCAACCATTACTCTTTTCTTTCTGCCAGGATACTGGCATGTCCTAGGTAGGGTCTACCCCTTTAGCTTTACCCCTGGAGAGGAAATGTCACAATGGATGTAGTATTGTGGCTGTAGGCCACTGTGATTTGAGGGATTCTGGTTATCAAAACAATTTGTCATGGGCTGGCTGATTTACTTGGCCTGGAATATCTCTAGTCTGTTCTCCAGCTTAAAATTTTATCTTAACTTTTAAGATCTGGTATAATGGACACATAGAGAGGAATAGCAGACACGGGGGCCTAACGGTGGAGAATGGGAGGAGACAGAGAATCGGGAAAAATAACCAATGGGTATTAGGCTTAATACCTGAGTGATGTAATAACCTGTACAACAAACTCCCATGACACAAGTTTAACTATATAGTAAACCTGCGCACGCACCCCTGAACTTAAAAAGTACACAAAAAGAACTGGTTTAAATGCCACTTTCCCTGTGAAATCTTCCAGATTGGCTCTTTCCTCTGCATTCATGCAGTACATTGCATTTTCCTTGATTTTTCTCTGTCCTTTAATTATAATTAGTTATTCGGCCTGTTTCCCTGCTGGCTCTGCAAGGGGAAGGGTTATTTCTAATGGATCTTTGCATTTCTAGAGTTCCTAACAGAGAACCTGGGTCAGCACATACTGGATTGAGAAAGAGAAGTTAGATGTTTACCATGCTGAGATAGGACTGGAGTTCTATCTCTAGGCTCTGGAAGGTGCGTCTCAGCTCTGTTAGTTGAACCTCAGTTTCTTTTAATTCTTCAGTGTTCACTGTGACCTGTTGCTGCAGAGCTGCAGTCTAAAGGGCCAAGAGTGAAAAAAAAAAAATAGCAGAGGGATGAAAATAAGAATGGAAAGACAGAAAGAGAAAGTAAGAATGAACAAATGAAAAATAAAATGAGTTCTCTCTTTCGGGAGGAAAGCTTCTACACATTTGCTCACACTTTACTGTTAGCTGTCTCTTGCACTGTTACCTGTCTCTCAAACTGTTCTTTGGCCTCTTGAAGGCTCTTCTGGGCCATGTCTTCATACTTCTGCCTCATTTCATTCATGATGGCACCAAGGTTCTGACCTGGAGCAGCATCAACCTCCACGTTGACAGTGTTGCCCAGATGCCTGTGTAGGCCATCGACTTCCTGTGAAAGTGAAAATCCTGGTTGATTTTAGTCTGAAAAACACTTTCAGATAAGGCTGGGCAGAAAAGACAGAGGAAATCTCCTGTCCTCTTTCATTGTGAATGAGTGAAAAAGAAAGAAAATAATAAATTGTGGTCCAGGTACTGCTCTAAGTCATTTAACCGATAACAACATTATGAAAAGAAGTTAGGGCTTATATCACTATCGTCATTGTCAACATCGCTGTCACTACCACCACTAGCTCTCCCTCCTCCTGTTTCCCTTCCCCCTCCTATTATTGTTATGATATAGGATCATTCCATCGTCTCCAATACGACTTCTGAATATTTTCTCACCTCCTGATGCTCTTTTTTGAGGAGGGCTAGGTCTCTATTCAGATCTTCAATTTGAACCTCCAAATCTGTTTTCTGTAGGGTTAGATCATCAAAGACCTTACTCAGGCCTTGGAGATCGGCTTCCACTGTTAGGCGTATTCCCCTTTCAGTCTCAAACCTGTGAATTAATCAGTATACAGACATAACTCATCCTTCTAAAGCCATTATAAGAGAGAGAATCTAATATAATGAGATAGATTTTTTATGTGGCTTATGAGGAGATTAATTTCAATATTTTATAACATCCTTCTTTATACATTCATGAATTGTACAGAAGAACCTAGGAGTCAGACAATTTGCTCAAGAATATAATCTGTGATTTGGAGTGAATGGTAAAAAGGCAATCTGAAATAATTTTGAACATTTCTAAATTCTAGAATACATTTTATAAGAAATTAAATTGTGTTAATTATTGTGTTGGCAAAGGGTTCTTAATATGGATATTAAATAATGGTTAGATTTACTTAATAATGTACATGATCAATTTATTTTTATTACTTTGTAAACAGAGGCTTCCAAAATGAATTATCTCTAACACTTCTCTAGAATCTTACATAAACACACATTCTCTCTCTCTCTCTCTCTCTCTGTGTGTGTGTGTGTGTGTGTGTGTGTGTGTGTAGATGTATGTATATTTGAGACAGGGTCCCACTCTGTCACCCAGGCTGGAGTACAATGGTGCAATCATGGCTCACTGCAGCCCTGACCTCCCGGGCTAAAGCAATCCTCTCACCTCAGCCTCCCAGGTAGCTGGGATCACAGGCAAATGACACCATGCTAAACTATTTTTTTTGGTATTTTTGTGTAGAGACAGGGTTTCATCACGTTGCCCAAACTGTTCTCAAACTCCAGGACTCAAGAGAGTCACCTGCCTCAACCTCTCAAAGTGCTGGGATTATAGGCATTAGCCACCATGCCCTACCCAATTTTCTAAAATATCCAACTTTAAAAAATGACAATGCAATGGAACACTCAGTGCTAGGTAAAATTGGAACTAATGTACCTTTACTGCTTTCATCTTTGCGTTTGATTTCCTATTTCCTCCTTGTTAATCCCTTGGAGCATTAAAAGGCTAACGTTCTAACCACAAAGGGCTTTTTGGGTTAATGCATTATACAAATTCAGGATGAAGAGGCCCTAGTGTGGAAGCTGTTTTCAAGGAACAGCTCTGGCCACACGTGGTGTGATGATTATGAAGAAAGTGAACTTTTTTTTTGAGACAAGGTCTCACTCTGTTGCCCAGGCTGGAGTGCGATGGCACCATCTCAGCTCACTGCAACCTCCGCCTCCCAGATTCAAGCAATTCTCCTGCCTCAGCCTCCCGAGTAGCTGGGATTACAAACATGTGCCACCACACCCAGCTAATTATTGTAGATTGGTCCTGGTTCTTTGGTTGGCCAGACCATAGTGTCACCTCTGGAATGTGGGTCATACACTTGCAGACACTTGAATGAACATGGAGAATTACTTGGCGAATCACCAAGCATAGACTAAAGACTCTCTTTGGACAATAGAAAGGCACTTAGGCAGAAGGAGAATTGTAAATTGCTTTGTTATTACTCCAAAGGGCAGAGTTAGGTATAGTGGGTTAAAGGACAGATGCCAAATTACTAAAAAAAATTTTAGCAACTAGTAATAACCAAGGAGAATAGTAGCTACTGGAGATGTTCAGTAACATGCTGGGGGATCAAGAGAGAGAGAAGTCCAAACCTGAGTGCTGCACTAGCTTCTAACATGTAGCTTCTAACCTCCTTGAGGCGCCAAGATTCTGGAAACATTGCACAGTGGTTCCTTTACCAATAATGATATGGAAAGACTACTAAAGGAATTCTTGTTCATAAATGTTTGCCATGTATTAGTGAACCTACTTCAGTCTGAAGTCCTCAGCAGCCAGTTTAGCATTATCAATTTGCAGGATACACCGAGCGTTTTTCAGTTGAGCATCCTTAATCTGGAAAATACATGAGAAAGAATGACATTTTCTTTTCTTTTTTTCTTTTTCTTTTTCTTTTTCTTTTTCTTTTCTTTTTTTTTTTTGTTATGGAGTCTCACTCTGTAGTCCAGGCTGGAGTGCAATGGCGCAATCTCGGCTCACTGCAACCTCCACCTCCTGGGTTCAAGCAATTCTCCTGCCTCAGCCTCCCTAGTAGCTGGGATTAGAGGTGTCTGCCACCATGCCCGGCTAATTTTTGCATTTTTAGTAGAGACGGGGCTGTCTCTATTAAAGACAGGCTTGTCTCAAACTCCTCACCTCAGGTGATCTGCCCACCTTGGCCTCCCAAAGTGCTGAGATTACAGGCCACCACGCCTGGCCAAGAATGACATTTTCAGATGGATAGGAGTTTACAAAGATTGAGTTTATCCTCAGCTACAGTGACTATTATGTCAAAAATGATATTCATTTTGAGTATTTCTACATGAAAATAGAAAAATCATGACATGGGTATTTAACATTATAATAGAGTCATAAAATGCAACTCTAGACCCCAGGGTTTGGTTTGCTTTCTTGTGATTCTATGGAAAGAGAATTTAACTCACCTTGAATCATCAGAACTTATTGAGTGCCTTGCCTTTGATGTTTCTGCTTAGAACATTTATGTTAGGCCCTCTTGCCCGGTGAACTCCCATTCCGCCCTCATGTCTCAGGTTCAACAACATTGCTTCAAAGGAGCCTTCACAGATGCTCCCAAATGCTGCACAAATGCTCTCTTCACGGATGATCTGCCTGTGCTCCCATTATCCCTCTGTATGCGGGTTCCCTCTGTGTGCGGGTTGCTTCTGTCCATCTCTGTTTCATCATGAATCATGTTGTGTCCACCACAATATTCTCCAATGCCCAGCATGGTACCCAGCACCTAGTTAGTGTTCATTCAGTATTGGCCAAAAGCAAGAACACTTGATAGGCTGGCCACAGTAGCTCACATCTGTAATCTCAGCACTTTGGGAGGCTGAGGCGCGTGTATCACAAGGTCAAGAGATTGAGACCAGCCTGACCAATATGGTGAAACTCCATCTCTACTAAGACTACAAAAATCAGCTGGGTGTGGTGGTGCATGCCTGTAGGTCCAGCTACTCAGGAGACTGAGGCAGGAGGATCGCTGGAACCCGGGAGGCGGAGATTGCGGTGAGCACAGATAGCACCACTGCACTCCAGCCTCGGCAACAGAGCGAGATTCCGTCTCAGAAAAAAAAAAAAGAAAAAACACTTGTCATATAATGGATGCATATGGATAAAAAATGTAGGTGCAGAAGATGTTACAATGACTTTTTCTCTTTCAATGGATCCAGTTTTGGGGAGGGCTGCCTTCCTATGACTGGGACTGTCCAGCTCAATGGGATGGGTGGCCTGTGCCTGTGTATTTGAGATGAGCCAAAGTAGAGTCAGAAACACAAGACAGGTGTGGTTCGAACGTTTTTAGTGAGAGCCTGAGAAGGATGAACTTTACTCCGTAAGGGAAATTTAAATACCATTGCTACACATGCCCATAGTTTCTAAAATTCCAAAGCAACTCCCCGTAGAGTCTGAATCAAATTGCACTGATGTTTAGTACAACTCCAGAAAAAGAGACTTGCTGGTAGGTAAGTGAGCTTTGCTGTAAAGGAGTATGAATCTTAACATAGAAATGAAAATTAACATTTTTTTGGATTAGATAAGAACTTTCATTTGAAGCAAGGGCTCTGTGTCATATCTGAAATCTTCAATTAGGAGCAAAGTCTTCTGCTTTTATTCCATGCAAGTGATAAAATACAGAGCTCCACCCTTTTTTGATGACATAGGATGAGGCTGTGATATGATTGCAATAAATATAAATTGGGGCAATAGAACATTTTATTACTGTAGAAGTAATTTCTGAACTGCTTGATGATGATGATCATGTTATTAAACAGGGCATTTAAAAACCCAGGCATCATTAAGACAATATTCCTGCGTTGCTGTTTCTACCCTGGGTCACTTTGTTATTTAAATCTACAGTACAGTATTCTAATAGTCTTATTATAACATTTTCTTAAATAAAAGTAGAAAAGTCTCTGAATTGACTGGGGTTTCAAAACTTGATGAGGACTCGGTGAAAAACTAAGAGAGATTTATCACATAATTAATTTTTAGCTCTTTTCAGAAAGACTGTTCACTATACATTTAGCCCTGATGTGGTGAGTTGTGACAAGGATACAGACTATAAGCCTGGAGGATAAAAATGTTCATATTTTGTATGTAATTATATTTAACATTAAAAATAGTAGGATTTAAAGTCATCCTGCTATACAGTTAGGTACTCCAGCGCTAAAGGGAGATGAGAGAATTTTTATAGATGTAACATTGTAGCCTAATTTGCTTTACAATGTCCATTTGAACCAACCTAACATAGATAGCCTCTTGGTTTATCTTGCAACTAAACACAGATTAGGAAACACAGGTGCCGTCTCTCACCTGATTTCGCAGCTCTTCAATCTGTCTGTAATATGCACTGTAGTCGCGACCACCACTCGGGGCGTTGGTTTCGTACCACTGCTTGATCTGCACTTCAAGTTCGGAGTTGGACTGCTCCAGGGCCCGCACCTTGTCTAGGTAGCTCGCTAGACGGTCATTTAGGTTCTGCATGGTCGTTTTCTCATTGCCAACAAACAGGTCCCCGCTGCCAATGAGATCGCTCCCAGAGCTCACCATGTTTCTGGAGGTGGTGGAGATGCGGGTGCCCCGGCCTCCAGCACCCCCGTAAACGCTGGGTGCCATCCCGAGGCGCTGCATGCTGACGGCAGAGCCCTGCAAGGAGGAGCTCAGGCTTCTGTGGAAGCTTCTGCGGCTGACATCCTTTGGCGTTACCGGGAGGGAGTACATAGCTTCAGGCTGGCTGGGGCAGCGTCTGTCTCATGGAGGGTGCTGAGCTAGCCTTTTATGAAGTCCACAGGCAAAAGACTCCTCCTCTGCTGACATGTGACTAGGATTGGCACCACCGTCCACTTGGCCTTGCTTCCACACCTCCACCCTTTGTATAGCAATATGTTACTGTGTTTAATTCAATTCCAGAAAATACCACTAGAGGCATTTCTTGGAGGCTTTTCTCAGGGGAGACTTTTTCCCCCCTTTTTTTAAAAAAATTAAACAGTGGTAACAAAAGGAAGCAGGAAAACAGGAAGATAGATGTATTCTTTTAGCCCCTGCACCTGCCTTGGCAGGTTTCCTTGATCCTAACCTATGCATAAAGAATAGTTACAATCCTCATGTATAATTTAGGTATCTAAAAAGACAGATGTGCCTACATAACTGAAAGTCACACTGGCGATGAAGGACAATGGTTTATTTGTACTGAGGAGGTGCTCTTCAGAACCTGTGTTTCGTGCTTTACTTGTGTTTGGCTTTTAAGTTTATTCTGGTTTGGACATCTTATTTTATAAGACTGTTAAAATACTTTGTACAAACACAAAACCTCGAATACCTAAACCAGGAATGAAACCATTATACATTTGGAGATGTAGTTTGGGGATGTGAATTAAATGAGTTTTAGGAGAGTAGTGGACTAGATGATTTGGGAGGTTATTTTCTTTTTATTTTTAATCTTCTATGACTAAGTAATGCATTTTAGGTTTCCCGTCACTGCCTGGCTTCAAGTCCTGTTACCAAGACACTTAGAATAAATCACACACTGCTTTGCGTCTGGCATGATACAAGGACGGGTCTCCTCCTTAGAATAAGGCCAGCTTAACACCCACCATGAGATAGACTCTACCCAGTCCATCCTGAAGCTACTTACAAGTGCTCCTTCTAGAATCCCTAGTGGATTTCAGTTGCAGAAGCTTCAGCGGAAGCCTGAACTTCCTTGCATGTCTCCACAATCACAGCACAGGTGGCTGTATGTACAGGAAGTGGGGCAGGCGGGGGCCTTGGGACGACACTCAAGCTTCCAGGGTTGGGCTGGAGGCAGTTGCTTGCATGTGGACCTCCAGACACATGGGCATGATCTCACCAGTGGGAATCTGATTGTAAGCACCCAATAAATGCCCGATTCACTTGCTCCGCTTCATTCAAACCCCCTGGCTGAGAATTCACACCTCTCATGAAGCATTTAAATCACTTCCTTAATCAAGTTAATTAGAAGGGTTGAAAAAAATCACTAAAAACTAATTGTCATCCTGGTACTTTAATGGAATTGAGATTCGTGTATGATTAAAGCAAGCAAGTAAAACACACACACACAATTTGTAATTTACTTGTTTTGTTTTAGTGGCTTATTTGTTGTTGCTGTTGTTTGGAAAACCAGTCACTTAAATTTGTTTTTGAGTTTTTAGATACCAGTGGCTTTTTTTTACTTTAAAGATTTCTTTTATACACAACTTTCTTCCAAAATAAGGTCAGATCATACTATTTCTCTCTTATAAACAGTATACTTCAAAAGAGTACATTGTGTTTGATTTTATCTGAGTTATATCACGGAAATAAAAATTGAGATAAAACGGAATCTACTTTATGTATTTTATGGTATATGTGTGGACAGCTCTTATATTTTTATCCATTTGTGTATTCATCAGCCAATACTGAGCGCCCACCACCAATGACAGGACTGGTGGCAAGCAGACCTTGCTAACTTATTAGAGTTATAAATTACTTTGTTAATAGCTGTCACAGCTAAAATATGTGGTAAAGAAGAACTTTTTATAAACACATGAACTATGTTCTTTATGCATATATTCAAAAAATGAATTGTTTTTGGTGTTGATTAATGGGGTAGGAGGAGGTTGTTTGAACTCAGTGGAAAATTATGGTATTTAAATTACACAAGTTTTACAGAAAGTTGGTCTTAGATAGCAGTTTCATATGCTAACACATGATCAAGATGTGTAGAAGCATTACTAAATCAATCTTTTTTTTTTTTTTTTTTAATATTGAGTCTCACTTTGTCACCCCAGCTGGAGGCTGGAGTGCAGTGGTGCGATCTCGGCTCACTGCAACCTCCACCTCCCAGGTTCAAGCAATTCACCTGCCTCAGCATCCCAAATAGCTGGGATTACAGGTGCACCACACCCAATTTTTTGTATTTCTTTTTAGTAGAGACAGGGTTTCACTATGTTGGCCAGACTGATCTCAAACTCCTGACCTCAGGCAATCCGACTGCCTCGGCCTCCCAAAGTGTTGGGATTACAGGCGTGAGCCACCGCACCCGGCCGATAGCTAGCTTTAGAATTAGAAAAGAACACAAATGTAGTTGTTAAACATGATGATTTTTGTTCTCTTTTTAGCACAATTCTTCCTTATGGCTGGACCTAGTTATGTTTATATCAGAGAGTTAATAATCTCATTTTTAATTATTTTCACTTTTATTTTTATTTTGAGACAGGGTCTTACTGTGTTACCAAGGCTGGCATGCAGTGATACAATCACAGCTCACTGCAGCCTTGACTTCCCAGGCTCAACTGATCCTCCTGCTTCAGCCTCCCAAGTAGCTGGGACTACAGGCATGCATACCATGCCTAGCTAATTTGTCTCTCTCTCTCTCTCTCTCTCTCTCTCTCTCTGTCTCTCTCTTTTTGGTAGAAACAAGGTCTCACTATATTGCCCAGGATGGACTCAAACTCCTGGGCTCAAGTGATCCCCTCTCCCACCCTCCTAAAATGTTGGGATTACAGGTGTGAGCCCCTGTGCCCAGGCAATTTTTTCTTTTTGAGAAATAACTTTGTCTATGTCTTATTCCACATATTTTTGGATAGTTTTGATAAGTTTTTGAGGTTTTAAACTAAAATATGATACAATAGAGTTATTATATAGTCATATATGTGCATTATTTAGTCATCCAATCTACTAATTTATTGGAGTAGAAAAATTTCTACTGGAAAGCCTCCCACCTATTTATATAAGGGCAGGAGAATTTGCTGGCTTCTCTGTCACTGAATTTTGTACTTTGGTAGATTATTCGATCTTACAATGTGAGCACAGGAAATCAAGTGAGTTTTTCACAGTAATTCATTTTTCTGGGTTATATCTCGAGGACTGAATAAAGATCCTATTGACCCTTGTTCATACACAGTCATAAATTTAGAGCCCCTGATATTCCAGGCTCTTGGATGACTGCATTTGTAAATAAATACTTATTAAATCCCAATTTCCTTATAGCTAGTAGGAGGTATATTTTGACCTCTGAGACACTCTACTGAGAGCGTTAATGATTAATACTATGTATGGCCAGTAGTTGGGAAAGCCATTATAAGTACTACGATTTTCAGAAGACTTTCAACTTTTTCTTTTTTCTATCATGAGTAAGCTATTGCAGTTGCATATGGTAGGCAAAGAACCTGCAGTCTCTGGAGCTGTGTCTAGTTCAGACAGGGAGAAGGAGGGCAGACGTACAGATCAAGAAAATTCGGCCACGAGTTATTTGTTGAAGCAAGGAGATGGGTACAAGGAGGTTCATATATAGTGGACTTAAATCACTGTATTCTGCACAGTTAATCCGGCATGTTTAGTTTTTTGTTGGTACTTATTTGGTAATTCTCAGCTGTGTTTTGATGAGTTGAGTGGATTTATTTATTGTCTCATAGTGGCTTTAGAATGATTGGATGAAGAATATAAGTATAAATTGTTTTAGAAAAAAAAATAAACTTGAAAATTAGAGCAAGTACCAAGCAGATCTGAAATACAAACCAGAATAAATAAATAATGCCATTAAAATGACAAGTGGATGGGTCTAAGAACAGATTAAGCCAGGATTATTCCAAAAATGTAGCTTTGAGGAAATTTTCCGGAATGCAGCTAAGTGATGAAGGAGGAAGTCAAGAGGCATGACGGCTGGAGTTAGAAGGTTTAAATATGTCCCATCAGAGTACCAGAAGACAGGAGAGAATAAGAAAACATTCAACAAAATAAAAAGTGAGAATTTTCTAGAATCGTTTTGAAAAAAAGAAACCCCAAGTTTTCAGATTAAGGAGACCTAATGAATTCCAGGCAAAAGGAATAAAAATAAATCACAACGACACACATTGAGGCAGAAAACCAGATAATAAAATACTAGAAGCAGATACAAAGAAATCACCAACAAAAGAACGGTGGCTAGACTGAAGGCTGACTCCTCAAAAGCAGCAATGGACACTGGAAATGGAATAGAATCTTTTAAGGTGTTGGGAGGAAATAACTGCCATTCCAGAATTTTCTGACTCAGTAACATTATCTTTGAAGGATGGTAAAAAAAAGCATTGTCAAGATTAGTAAAACTGAACTTGCCATCAGTTTTCACGAAGAGCTCTACGTTTTCACTAAGAGCAATCTGAAAGAATGTATTTTAAGCAGAAGGAAGATGATTCCAGATGAACGTTCTGAGATGCAAAAAAGAATGAGAATAATGAACAAAGAAAGTGCTAAGCATGTGACCAAATGTAAATGTAAAGACAAATATTGGCTATAAAACAATATATCTATTGAGAAGAAAAAACAATATGGAATTAAAGCAGAGGAGGGCTGGAAGGGGATGAATGAAGTTAAATTGTTCTAAAGCACGTGGCTGTTTAGGAAAACAGCAAATATACAGATTAACTTTAGACATTGACCGGTTAAGAATACATAACTATATTTTCCACACATGGACACATGGCAGGGAACAACACGCACTGGGCACCTGTGGTTAAGGGGAAAGCTTCTGGAAGAATAGTTAATGGACACTGGGCTTAATACCTGAGTGATGGGATTATCTGTGCAGTAAACCACCATGGCACACATTTACCTGTGGATTAAACCTGCATATCCTGCACATGTTCCCCTGAACTTAAAATAAAAGTCAAAGAAAAAGAACAACTGCATGCTCTATTTTCTAATTTTATGGTTTTACCTTTCACATAATGGCTCCTGCATTGATCTGAAAATAAACCAGTGAATTAGCAC